CCGAGCAACACACAGAAGTAAACAAAGGTGTACGTTTGTAGAGTAATTTATGACAGCTTCGAACGCAGCTCAACCAATCAGAATCAAGGACCGGAACTATCCGTTTTATAATAATTACAATTACAATTGACAATTAATTAATTAAAGATTTATTTAACTAATTTGTAATAATTATATATCTATTATCTATGAAGAATTATTTTGCATTCAGTTTTTATGTGGCAGTTATTATTCATAGTAGTCGTATTATAACAATAATAATTGCACATTTATATATTACAATTTTAAATACTTTTGCAGTTTAGCATGTCAAACTGTACAACATTGTTTTGTCATGATGTTACAATAAATTAAAACATACAAAATGATCTGTTATGACAATTGCTGATAATTAGCTTCAGATTAAAAAAATAAATTAAAAAAATAGTAATATTAATAAATTAATAAGACTAACCTCATATTTTTTAAACAGCATATTTGGTTCATTTGAGCCCTACTGATGGTGTTGTGGTGGTATATGAGCCAATCAACACTGAGAAACACTGGTCTATGTCTGCCTGAGTCAATTTTGTGTCTATTATAAAATATAAATAGACTTTTGCTGGAGTAATGTGAGCACAGAACATGACAGGAATAGTGACCAGTGTATAAAAGGTCCTTTATCTCAATAACTTAAACTGAGAGGGAAATGGGAAGCAGAGCAGAAACAAAGAAAAGAGAGAGAGACAATGTATTGTAAATGAGAAGCACAGAGTATATCTACCTCCATCTGTCTCTGTCACCACTCTGCAAGAAGAGGGGAGCGCAGCCTCTTTCACAGGCTTTTTTTCCCTTCTCGCCTGTTCCTGTCTAAGTCTCACACTCCTCTCATTTCTCATGTCTTTTGCTCTGTCACCAAGGTGCAGGAGCCTGAGGTGAACTCATAATGAGCTTGTGAAACTCACTTTTCCTATTGTTTTCTTGGATTAACGCACACACTCAGAGTCTGTGCTTCAGTTGGGTTTCCTCTCAATGTACAGACAACAGCAGCCTTGATCTTTGTTCGGCTGTAGCAGCACAGTGACAGCATGTCACAGATAGAAGTAAGACCCACTAATGATGCCAGCGCTCATGTGCACATACATATGAATAATGGATTTCCTTCCCATATTGCTATTGGAACGCACTGTCAAATGATAACTACAATATTATATACTATAGAATGTTTTATATAGAACACATTTTATATTATGGATTATTCTCAGGAAATCGTGCCATTTGTGTCCCAAATGTGTACATCAATATTGTTATTGTTAATTAAAATAAATAAAATGTTTAAAAGCATTTTGTTACTTGAAATAAAGCTGAAATAAAATTAAATTTTAATATTAGATGAAGCTGAAGTTGGAGTACTAAAAAATTTTTTTTTTAAATAAACAACAACAATAATTACAAGTATTTAGAAATTTAAAAAACAAAACTGAATAGCACATAACTGTCACGATGCGCTACTGTGAGGAGCGAGGAACAAGGAGACGTGGAGTAAACTTCAAACGAATAGACTTTAAAGGGGTCATATGATGCGATTTCGATTTTTCCTTTCTCTTTGAAGTGTTACAAGCTCTTGGTGCATAAAGAAGATCTGTAAAGTTGCAAACACTAAAGTCTCAAATCCAAAGAGATATTCTTTATAAAAGTTAAGAGTCAAAGACAGTATAAGTCATTATAATCAGTAATTGTGTCCCCACTGGATGCAACAAATGCCAACATTTACGTCTCACACTTGAGGTATTCGGCCAATCACAACGCACTAGATAGCTGGCCAATCACAGCACACCTTGCTTTTTCAGACCGATGAGCTTTGTAAAAATCGATGCGTTTAAAAAAGGCGGGGCATAGAGGAGAAACATTAATGTACAGTATGTGGAAAATAATGTGTTTTTTTAACTTTAAACCGCATAAACACATTTCATTACACCAAATACACCAAATAATGTTCTTTTTTAGCAGCATCACATGACCCCTTTAACTAACATCAAAGGAACCAGGAACACACCCGTAGTGGGGAAAGACAAACATTCAATACCAGACCAAGAACTCAGAACAGGACTCACTATAAATACACCTGACTTGATGAGGGGATAACGAGACACACCTGGAACTAATGAGCAATAAAACACATGGGAAAACTAGGTCAGGGCAGGCACATGGAGAGGGAAAAACACACAGATAGCGTCCAGGGGCGTGACAATAACAGTTATTAAAAATTAAACTAAAATTAAAACAAAGAGTAATAATAAATGCTAATTCGAAAATATTAATAAAAACTATAATGTTATTAATACTATTAATATAATAACAGATATTGATTCTACAGATATACACTTTTTAACATTTAAGTCTATTTATCATGTAATTCATAAAGAATGCTACATCTCAATGGGTACATTTAAAATTACAAATACATACAAATAAATATGCTGGTACTGTAGGCTTCAAGTAAAGTAGTAGATCGTTTTAAGAAAGAAAAAAAAATACTACCACTACTAAAGTGTGTCTGTGTCTTTCTAAATCATAGAATACAAAACGTGTATGTTCCAATAAGGTCAAGGAATGCCATGAATGAATTAATAAATAACATTTATCGACACATTTAGACAGCTTTACTGAATCTGTCTGCTAAATCGGGCATTTCCTTAAAATATATTGGAGCAGGGCCGTTTGAAATGTTTCTGAATGTATCTAGCTCTATCTAGTGGTGAAATAAATCAACACGCTGGGATGTGCATCTGAAAACAAATATTAATCTAACGTTACACAGGACAGGAGCATCTCTCGCTAGATTTACTGAAGTTAAATGCCTGTATAGTGCCCCAGTTCAAATATCACTTTTTAAATATAAAATAATTTATATAGTAAATATAGAATCCAGAACTAATGATGACAGAACCTGACGAACGAGCTGGCAAAAGGTCTGAAAGTGTTCGCGGTTCAGTGTGATTCCTTCGGAGAGTTCGTATAAACGTGTCTTTAATTCAATAAAAGATATGCGAAATAGACTAATAGCTATGTAGTCTATTTTATAAAAACATACCTAATTTAAAAGCCATATTTCTCAGAATACCACATATTTATGGGGAAACGCAGAGAGCCTCGTTAGATTTGTGGTGTGTTTGGAACGGCTTGTTTAGGTCAGAACTTAGAGTAGGCCTAGATATTAATCTGGGGGGTAAATAACACTGGATCAGTTCAGATTTCAATTTCCGATGATCAGTAGTGTCATGATGCAAGTACATCAATGCACTAATGAAAAATCCAAAAACGATCAGTGAGTCACCAATCACTAATCCCCTTTCAACACTAGGTGGCGCAGTAATACAGGCAGCATGACACATGTCTCCTGTGGTAGGCTATAAGGAATTATGGCGAAAACCCCCCGGGGAAACAAAAAAAAGCCACAAAAAAAATAAATAAAAAAATATCCCTAAAGAGAGCAAGACCAAAGACCAACTGATCTGATAGTTACTTGTGCAAGAAAGAAGAAAAAACGTAAAAAGAAAGATCATAATAATTGGTGATGCCTGCCACGGACCCCCTAGTGGTTAGGACCCTGATGATTCGTTCATTCATTACATTCAGAAAGACATTTATGAAAATAAAAATATCCCTAAAGAGAGCAAGACCAAAGACCAACTGATCTGATAGTTACTTGTGCAAGAAAGAAGAAAAAACTTAAAAAGAAAGAAAGAAAGAAAGATCATAATAATTGGTGGATGCCTGCCACGGACCCCCTAGTGGTTAGGACCCTGATGATTCGTTCATTCATTACATTCAGAAAGACATTTATGAACAGCAGCTCGTTTGTAATGATGTTCAATAGTCCTCAAGTGGCATTTCGTCGAAATGTTTTGCAGTTTTGGTTATTGCTGAATAATTATTTGTTGTTCAAATGTTTTCGAAAGCTGCAAGTTGAATTAGAAAAGAAAAGAAAAGAAAAGAAAGAATAAAGGCATAACGTGAACACTGCTGGAACAGAAAACGGTAGAAGTGTGAAGTAACTGAAGAATAAAACAATTTAGAGGCTTCTAAATTTCGATCAACATTTATGTTCTTGAAATTGGGACATTCAAGCTCCCAATATCCCAATAGCTTTATAGCTCCAAAACATAAAGACGAATTTAAAATGGGAACTGATTACTAGATAGGTTGCAAAGCACAAATTATGTTATATAATTCTGTTTGTAGCTAAAATTTGTTTGCAACTGTCAAAAATAATATCATTACTTCACATCACAACTCATCTTAAAATCATGAATTAATATTTAATTAATGAAACGAATTTTTTGTAACGTATTACAGTATTTTTAGAGAATTATTTAATGAAACGATTAAATATAGATATATATATATATAAATTGTACACATTTATTTGTAAAGTCAGTCATATAACAATAAGTTGTAATATAATTTGTTAAAATAATAGGTTAATAATTATACATAATTTTATACGATTAAAATTAACCGTTTCGGAAAATACCTGGTTATCAAATTAAATTCTGTGATGATGGTCATTTACATTTTTGTAGTCAAAAAATGTAAAATTTTGTAGTGGCTGTAAATATCATAAATTATTGTATTCAGCAATTCCTACAATTTGTTCAAATGCGTTTTTATGATGTGGTTTTTCAAATGAACTGTGATTTCAGGAAGACGGAAACAGACTCAGGCTTTAAACCTGTCTGTTGATAATATAAATACAAACATCAATTTTTATTTTGAAGAATTATTTCCGAATATATATATATATACACACACACACACACACACACACACATTCGGTCTTCTTCATTTTAACAAGCCTTTAGTCTGTCTGTTTATGAATGACTTTAATCATCGCCCTGCAATCCTAGTCTATACGCCACGCCTACTTCGAGGAGCTTGTGATCTATTGGCTGAAAGAGACAAGAATACCAGATTAGACACCGTATTCGCCGCACTTGGCTGTGTATATATGACCAAACTTCTCTCACAAAAAGCAGACTCTTGTTGCTTTTAACCTGATTAGTCAGAGAGTGTATTGTGCGTTACTGTGAGAGCGTGGGCTCCAGAGACAAACATTTGCCTTAAAGGCACTGGAGATATGAACACCATCGACGCGCAGATCCATAACAATAGTACCGCTGCTGTCAACCCTCTCCAGCAACTGCAAAAAAGCGCGCACGAGACACCGGATATGGCCGTGTATTGTGACAACTTCAGTGTTTACCACCAACAGAGTCTACCTGCGGCGCAGAGACCAGCGGGCTACGGCCTGGGGGACTACGCGACCCCAAACCCATACCTGTGGCTCAATGGACCCAGTGTTAACTCCTCTTCGTCTTACATACATGGCAACAACAGCCCGTCGTTCATCCCTCCGGCTTATGGCTCTCAGAGGCAATATCTCACCAACTCCTCCGGGTTCGCCGGTCCGGACTTGGGCTGGCTCTCTATCGCGAGCCAAGAGGAACTGTTAAAGCTCGTGCGCCCGCCTTACTCGTACTCAGCTCTGATAGCCATGGCAATACAGAACGCGCACGAGAAGAAGTTAACTTTGAGCCAGATATATCAATATGTGGCGGATAATTTCCCGTTTTATAAGAAGAGTAAGGCGGGATGGCAGAACTCCATTAGGCACAACCTTTCACTGAATGACTGCTTTAAAAAAGTGCCGCGGGACGAAGACGACCCAGGTGAGTGATGCTCGTGCACCTTTGCATAAGGGTCAGTGACGTGACGCTTATTTTTGTATCGATCTATTAAGTACAGTTCATAAATAAATGACTTGAGGTCACAAATTACTTGAACGTCTAGTTATTTGTGAATAACTACGAAATTGCAATGCAAGATTCTTGGAGAAAAAAGAGAAATGTTTACATACTGTATTTGCAATAAAAATGGAAATAATGTTATAAATGTGTGTTGTAAATGTTATAAACGAATGTTATAAATATTTAAAATATCTATATTAGTGCCTAAATATTTACAAATACTTTGTCTGTCGAATAAAGTTCATCCATCCTATTTTAACATGACAAAAAAGAAGACCCCTTTAGACCCTTATGACTGATCATTACATTTTTGTAAATGTAAAAAGTATAGGCTATAACAAACAAAATTAGGCTATAATATATGATATAATATTATTTTGTCATTTTTAGTAAAAGGCACATTTTGACCAAGTGAAAGCCTTAAAAAAACGTCTTTTCATAATTAGTAGCTATAGCCTATAATAAAAAAGTGATATTAGAAAAAAGACGCATCTGTTCTTTAATATTATTTTAAAGATAATGAAAACTAAGTCGTTGGTGAAGGCGCAGGTAAAGTGGGCTGTTTTATTTGTTTTTGATGGTTACCACACTTAAATCTAAATCTAAATTTTATGATACAAACAAAAAATGACAAACTTTTTCAAAAAATATACAATTACATATAGCCTAGGCTACATGAACATAGCCTAATACAGATTTCTTATTCATCGCACAGTCTTATTTCTCACTGACCCAATAGTGCAATTTACGAACAATTTCGTTCAGAGATTTAAATTCATCGAATTTCCCTGTAAATAACTTTTGCATTGAAAGTTGCTAGCTTTGGGTTCTAATACCAACTCTCCGTATTGTTTGAAGGCAAAGGAAACTACTGGACTCTAGACCCCAACTGTGAAAAGATGTTTGACAACGGCAACTTTCGTAGAAAAAGGAAGCGCAGGTCTGACTCCAGCACAGGTGTTGCCAGCAACACAAAACCGGAGGAGGACCGACAGCTCGCAGGGATCAAATCCACCGACAGCCCTCACCTCACCGGACCCGCATCTCCTGACACTGACGCGGCCAATGATAGCCACAAGGGCGCGTCTCCTGCGGGCCTCGCCAGCGCTCCGTGCTTCAACAACTTCTTCAACAGTATGTCAGCCTTAAGCTCGTCTTCCGCTCCGACTAGCAGACAGGGCTCTCTGGGGCTGGTAAACGAACTCTCCAGCCGAAATATCAGCGCATTGAGCCCGTACCACGCCAGCTCAGCGCCTGACGCAGGTGGAGCGGCTGAGCTGCAGGACAGCGTGCATGTCAACCGTGGAATGTACTATAACTCTTTTACCGGCGGCCAGAGTGCGCAGTTCAACGGACACTTCTACAACAGCTTCAGCGTGAACAGTCTCATTTACCCTCGAGACGGAACGGAGTTATGAATCTGTCATACTCGTGAATACCTACGACGCGTTTCTAAAAAGAAAAAACAAAACAAAGAATTATTTCAGCACTGTATATGCGCTGCTGAAATGTGACAGGCATTATAAACAGATAACATTCATTTAAACGCGACATTTACGCACTGACAGCCACCAAATGAGTGAAATCTGGTGTAAAACACTGGTTAAAACATTTTATTCTGTGAAAAATCTACTAGTTATGCATTGGATTCTTTTATGTCTTATTTTAACAGATTTCCATATTGTGTGCCAGTTTTTTTGATTATGCACTAATTTAAATGGATTTATCCTTTTAGTTTGAATTTATAATAGTCTTAAACAGTAGTTTGATGGAGGGATTGCCTTGGTATCCATGATTGCCAAGATTCAGTATTGTTCAATATCGAAAAACGTTCTCTGTGTCTCCTTTTTTTCCTTTCTTTTGTGTATTATTTGTAAATGCAGTTGTTTTGTTATATACACTTGTTTTTAACTATTTATATTAAGTTATGTATCTTGCAGTTTGTCCTTTAAGCAGAAAAATATGTGGTCTGGTAAGCTATGAACGGTTAAAATGAAACTTTTACCTGCAAAGTAAGGTAATAAGTGAATTATCGATTGTCATCATGCCACTAACTCATTTGATTTTTAAATGATATTTCAGAGGTGATGATCTTTACACTGATAAAAGTCACTACATTTGTTATTTTTCGCGCAGTTTCTGCAAAATATAAATTTTTAAAGAAAATAAAGAATTCCAAATCCGAATCTCAAATCTTTTTTAATTTATTTATGCTTTTTTTCCCCCTTGAACAACTCCTGAACATATGGCCTGTAAAAGTCAACTGTGCACATTAGATCTAAACTAAAGCCAAAGATTGCACTTTTAATGACAAACACAGATTTAATTCAAGCATTAAAATTACTAAGAAAAAAATTGTATATAAAAAAAAGCATCAAAAAGCAAATGTGGAACATTTTGTAATTTAAAAACTGTATTTAAATATAAAACTTTAAGCAAATGACTCAGCATATAGGCTACATATATATAAATCACACCAAAATATAATTTATAAGTTTTGTTAATTTTCAATTAGACACGTGATGCATATGGGCACTGACTCTAAACATCTGCAAGTTTAGATTTTTATTGCAGCATAAACATTAGCCGAGAACTGGATTAAAACAATGACTACCAAAACTCCTATTGTGAATTATTCTATAGAATACTGACAACAATGTCTTTTTCTTTTAGGTGATATTACAAAAAAAATTTCTTACCCATGCTTTTCACAAGAGCTGAGTAATTCAAAACAAAATAAGCAAACATGTCTATGCGTTCTGTAACCTTCTTGACTAAATATTCCTGACTTTAACACAGACAGTTGCACAATGTACATTTTCAAATCTCCGAGACTGAGTAACATCAGCATCATCATACCGACAGTTCTGTGCAGAGCTCAGGTGTATTTCAAGACGGTGTTTCTGCGGCAATACAGTATGAGAAGAAACCAGAAAGATAACACAGATGACAAAGCTGAGGTTTCTGTCTTATTACCCAGTGCCACACAAACAATATCATTATTGTTCTGTGTATGCCAGAACAGCTCTTACTGTGTGCTTGTGTGTTAAATTACCAAATTTGATTACATACATCTGTCCAAGTATAAAATAATTTTTGCTATTGATATCTTTAAGAATTTTAAAGTCTTTAATCTACAAAGAGCACACGTATAGAACAACTTTTGATGGCATTAAAGCGCACTGAAGTGAGATGAATTAAACGGGGTTGCCCGCCTCCTTTTGTCCTCTCTTCATTACAGCTGTCTGAGTAAAAGCGGGACAGACCCAAGTGCTTGTTTAGAGATTAAAGGGAGAAAAAAACTCCCATTGAGAAATTCCCTCAGTAAGCAGGGCAGTGCCACCCAGGAGGAGATGGAGAGGTGTGGCTTTGGGTGGAGGCCAGTCAACTTCAGGTTCAGAGAAACAAAATGAAAGCACAAATTAAATAAGACTGTTTTCTAAATTTCTAAATTCTGTATGTACACATATTATATTATATTATATTATATTATATTATATACTCAATTAACTACAATTAGTCACATGTTGTCAACTCACTAATCACAGTGGTCTTTGGCGCCTCAGATGAAGCCACAGTAATTATTAGAGTTTGGAGGGGGCAGGAGCTTATTTAGCATCTTCTGAGTCACCATATTTACTCAGCCACCACGCAAGGTGGCTTTTTACACTGAGCACTTTACCCTACTGCCAAATATGACGTTGTCAGTTAGTCGGGGGCTGACGCTCTGTGCTTAGTAAATGCCTGGGACATCAGGCAATCAACCGGCCCCCGCCTGCACCCAGCCCTTTGCACTCATCTCTGTTTGTTTGCCTGAAAAGCATCTTTGTTCATCAGCACAGAGGAACTGTACTCCTGGAATATGTGAAAAACAGAGTCCTATCAGAGACTACTTGCTTCTAGATGACCCTAATGCTAGGTGTGTGTGTTTTTTTTTTTTTTGGTTGGGGGGTACATATGCACAATTATTTTACTTTATTATTTACTATTTATTTACCCCACAAGCACAAAAGTGGCTGTGAATGACATCTGCAATTGTCAAAGATTGGGCACAAAACATGGGCCTGTTTATTTGTGTCTCTTTGAGTTTTTTCTTGATCTTATAGAGCATTACACATGAAATGCGAGGGGATAAAAAAAAAGATATGTGGCCACAAATACAGAATTGTATACAATTAAATATAATATATATATATAATTTGTTGTCTCCTTTTTGTTAAATTGTGGTCACAATTTAACTAAATGACAATGAGGGAATTTATCAGTACAACCAGGAAGTAACTAAAATAAAGGAAGAATTAATAAAACATTACCATGATCAAATGAATGAGTCGTGGGAATTATTATTATTAAAATATAGGAAAAATTAATAAACATGACCACGATCAAATGAATAAGCTGTGGGAATTTTTATTATTTTGTACACACGTCATGTGTGTGACACCATATAATTCCACTGTCTTTTCTATTCAAGTCCAGATCAATTTAAAATTAACCAAAAAATGGTTGTCTAGTCATAACTGTCTAGTTTTAAAAATCACACAATCATAGAGTAATTTTAGCATTATGAATGTGACATTTGCAGTCAAAACCTAAAATATAAATTGTCTGAGAACATATTACCAATGTACTGATTCATCTGTTTATATTTTCCTAAACCCCTGATGATCAGAAGAAAAAAACAGGCTACTGTACATGTGTTTTCTATTAGATGAGAGAGAGAGATACATGCGGTGAAAAATAAATAAACAAATAAATAAATACATCTGTGAACTCATAAGCACAAACCAGAACCAATCATTTCCATTGAACACCATTTTTACATGATGTGATGTCTGTAGGTTATATGAGTTAAGATCACTTTTTGTTTATTTATACAAATGTGAAATGTATAACTTAAGCTTCTGACAATATATTATCATCAGGCAATAGCCTGAATCATTTCATTATTCCATTTTGCCTAACTAGACTCATTCATTCATTAACCTGACAATCAAATAAAAAGTATTTGTGACGTTACGTAAGTCAAAAGCTGCATTTCCCACCGCCTGAGGCCTAGATATTAAAATGAAAGACAACTGATGTGCATCTTAGACAAAATAGTTTTTTTTGTTCAAATACTTTTCCGTGGTTGTTGTTTTAGTTCATACTAGCACACTTGTAACGATGTTTCTGTGAGGATGGATGAGACTCTGACATGTTCTCTTCTACTCCCTGTGCACTTGTGATCAAGGTCCATGTTTAAGAGTGTAGGATGTCTGACCCTGTGTGTCTGTGTATGTGCTGAGCTGCGGTGTTTCTCTAGTCTACTGTAAACGAGCTGCTACATGTCTGGGAGGTGAGAAATATGAGGGCTTTAGAGTGAATGATTAAGGACTGTAATTAAAGTATTACATCGCTTTCCTAGTGCTAAGCTGAGAGAAACAGCCCACCTCAGCTCTCCTCTAACACACTGTCTGGATCTGAGACAAACCTTCACACACTATCAGTTTTTCAGGTTTCAGGTCACTGAGGTCACTGCAGGTTATTGAAACTGTATTTTAGGCAAAAATATGTTTTTATGACACTGAATATCTGAAATGAAACAAAACAGTGTTGGCAAACATCAATTATGATTGATATTTCACCAGAACAATGGCTACAGTGTGAGTCGTTTCAAAGATGAACTCTCACCAGTGTCCATATCCTTTAGTAAACAGCATCACAAGGAGGGTTTGCTCACAGATGAGCTGTTTTTATCATTTTTCAGACTGTGTATTTTGAAGTTTAAGTGTAAAAGGGCCCCCTCCTGATAGAGAAGAAAAGGGAAAATAGCTCTCAGCAGGAAGCAGTTAAGTGCATGTGTGTGAAGGAGTGTGTATGTCTGTCCCGTAGGTGTGTGTATCAACGGGGCCTCAGTTAAGTGGTTGCGTTACCTCTCATGTGGAGCAGGCGAGTCGGGGGCGAGTCAGGGCGGGTCAGCGGTGGCTAAGGTGTCCATCATTATTTTTACGCCTGTCGGATCCCATGAGGTCGCCCAGGAAACGGTCAGTGCACGGGCTTCAGGGTGGGGGTGGGGGGTCAGGGGGTGGAGTCAGACACACTCAGCGGCTCTTCGGCACAGAGGATTATGACCAACAAAGCAGATCCCACACCTGCATCACCATCTCTGGGGGAAAATGAACATTACGTGAACCCTTTTTTGTTCCTCTTTTACACCTGACCAGCCCAACAGGAAAATATAACTTTCATAAAGAGTTTTTTGCAGGATTCATTTATTGTTGCAAATTTGAGATATAAAGTCACATGATGCATGCATTCCCAATTAGGAGATATAGGGCCCTATCATACACCCGGCGCAATGCGGCGCAAGGCGCAGAGCAAGTGTTTTTGCTAGTTTCAGCCCGACGCAGTTCTCATTTTCCCGTCCTGCGCCGTGTTGTTTTAATAGGAAATGCATTTGTGCCCATTTGTGCGCCCATGGGTGTGCTTGTCTAAAAAAGAGGTGTGTTCAGGCGCATTGTTGGCGCGTTGCTATTTTGAGGATCCGCATCGTCATGCCTAGAGCTGATCCGTGCTGGTTGCTGAG